AGAGAGAGAGAGACAGAAAGAGAGAGAGAGAGAGAGAGACAGAGAGGAGAGGGAGAGAGAGAAAAATAGGGAGGGAGAAAGAAAGAGAAAGACAGGATGAAAGAGACACAGAGAGAGAGAGAAGAAAGCAATAAGATAAATATAGCTTGAGTGTTTAACACACTACAACCCACGCTGACTAAGTACTGAAGTCTTTCAATCAAAACCCATTCCATCCGAAAAGTGAAGTCTTTAAACCTCAACAATAGTCATCAATATAGTGAAGTCTTTCAATCTAAATCACTTCATTTAAGAAAAAAAATCTTTTCTGAGAACCCATGGCTTCCCTCCCATGAAAACATTTACACACTGGCAAAATTGTATTGATACTCTTCTAGACAAAGTGGCAACTCGATCTCCTTTACCAAACTTGTTAATATGCAGTTACAAGAGCAGTGAACCATCACAAGAAAGGGGAGGAAAAAGAAAAGAAAACTCAGATGTTCAGAAAAAAATTAATTATGCAACTGTTCAAGAAGTGATAAATATATATTTCTTACGAGGAAAGACTTCTTAGAGGTAAGATAAGACAAGACAAGAAAGACAAGACAAGACAAGATAAGATGAAGTTCATTGATCCACAAGGGAAATATTTTGGGAGGATAAACCAAGAACATTGACAGACACAAAACTCACCTAAATTGGCAACGGAAGCAGCCACGAACTGGTTGCACAACTTGGACACTTTTTCAACATTGGCAGGTATCTGTTCCTTTTGGAATATTTGCAATCTGTGAAGAGATTGTAAAAAACACCCATCAAGCATAGTTCAGTACACAACAGGAAACACATTCATTGCTACAGTAACATGTAGTGATATTTGTTCCATATTTAGATACCTATGGACGAGCTCATGGAACTTATTTGGAATACCTGAAAAGACGTGTGACGAGGAAACAATAACATAATTTTTTTTAAAGAGCATCTGAGTAGCAAAATGAATGGAAAACCATGATCATCGTTGCCTGTTCCAGATCTAGGTCTTTATGATGATGATAATGATCACTGAGCAAATCTGTAGAAAAAAGATTTCTAAACAAATCATACTCTGTACATGCAGGCAGATTAAATTAAGTATGACCTGAAGAGTATCATAAAGTAAATAAAGGAGGTCTGGGACTTTTGCTTCTATGAGGACAAATAGGTTTCAAGATGACAGTATTGTTAGTAGAATGAAAGATGCAGGGGACTATTGTTCCTTCCTACAGTAAAAGTCTCAATAAATTAACTTTTCACACCATTTATCCCATAAATGTATAACTTTTCACTACACTTTCCAAAACGAAGCATGATACTGATTTTTAGTGGCAAAGGGGGAAGTAGTAAATACAACAAACACTATATATAATACGAGTAGATTTAATCCAAGTGCAAATACGATATAAACTGTTCTGAAATTTGAGGCACAAAAGAACAGCTGCAAAAGGGCTTGTTAAGGACATAGCCGCTACAGCTTTTTAGTTTAACCTTTAGTAAGAGTTTTAAGGCACTTGGAACACAAATAGGTCAAACAAGTACCACAGATTAGAGGTGCAACCAGAAAGTAAACTACAGAGACAAGAAGGAGGTGAGATAAGGACGATAGACATTTTATAGAGAAGAAGGAGTAAACCACACCAGAGCACCAGTCAACCACCCACGCCTTCAAAGCTTTGGAAGAAAAGAACCAGTCCCCTATTCAACAACTTGTGGCATTACCTTTCCAAAAACTTCTTCAAGTCTTTGAGGATGATGATCTGCACCTTCCATGTTGATAAAGGCATGGAGTCGCACAGCAACTGGGAATACTTCTCTGTAAACGTATCTGTGGAAGAAAAGCAATAGCAAAAGTCTGAGCACCCAACAAAAAAACCTTGGAAAAACTCGCATCAACTTCTTAGTGTAAGAACCCGCCATATGGCACAGCATGCTTAAAAAAGTAAAATAACAGTGTTGTGTTCTAGCCATTTAATTGGTATCTTGAATTTTTGAAAAAAACCCACTTAAAAATATCCTTTCTGATTTTAATGAAGGGACAAGGATCTCCCCATATTTGTGAAACTCCTAGTCAAACAACAAATTCCCAGGAAGACAACACAAAAGTCAGCCACATAGTATTTTTATATTACTTATAGTATAGGCTGACTCCTGATTTTTATTGAGAACTTGCAGATCAAGCTAAGCAATAGTTTTATTTTTAAAAATAACGGACCTAGTTCTTCTGTAAAACTTTTATTAAAACCATCTCCCTTTGACGCTCAACAGCAACAGAGGACAAAAAGTCAAAGTAAGTAAATATCCACAAAGCAGTATTCTTGTAAAGATCTTACCTTGCGTAGTTTGACTGCATGGCCAAGCCTCTCCGAGCAGCATGAATGCTGACTGGATGAGTTCTTGTCTGACATTGGAGCTGGAAGAGCCCTTTTCATCATCATCTGTGTTACTCTCTTTGCTACACAACTGTAAAATTAACAAAATAAAAAGTATATCTGAAGCATTCAGGAGGCTTGAAAGTTACTCCAGAGGAGGAGAAGGTGAGACAAGGGGGAGGGTGTTGGGACAAAGAAGAATAGAAAGAGAAGGGGGGAAAGAGTAAGAGAAGCAGAACACTTTTATCAGAGACATCTATGTAATGAGATTCATCGAGGCCCAAATCTGCAGCTGGACATTGTTTTCAGTCGCATCCTCTAACCTCCAATACACATGTCCACTTCTATGTGAATTAATGGTGACACTAAGCCGAATGGTTGAAGTACTCACAATGAGCTGGATGATTGAAATACTACAATAGCTGTGTGACTGAAATACTACGATGGACTGATTGATTGAACTACAGTACTGCAATAGACTGTGACCAAAATACTACAATAGACTGTGTGACTGAAGTACTACAATAAGCTGTGTGATTAAAATGCCGGTACTTACAATGCACTGTCTTATTAAAAAACTCTAACTAACTATGGGCTGTGCGCCTGTAATACTCACAATGGGCCGTGTGATCTCCCAGACTTGAGTGAAGTGATCCCGCTGGTACAACTCTAGCACAGGACCCAGGCACTTCATGGCTGCTATCTTGTACTCGGGCTGCGTCTTGCTGCTCTCACGGACTACAACTGTTAGGACCTGAAAGACAGGAGTTATCACAAAACGATAAATGTGAGGCATTATGGTGAAATGAGGTGCCTCCCAAGTAAAGGAATTGAAAAAAAAAAAGCTACATTTTTACACATATTGGTAAATTTATATCCATTTTTTGGGCATAACACCTTTAACGTCCATTCAAAAACATATTTCTGTGTGGATTTTACTGAAAAACACAAGTCAAAGGCACAAAAACATTTAAATTTCAGTTTGGAATTCTCCAAATGTTGACTCCATTTTATCGCTAATTTTACCTGACATCAGGCAACCTCTACCTCCTTGATGATAGATGTTTAATAAGAAAGAAGGAACAAACCACACCAGAGAACCTGCCTACCACCCACAACAGAATTTTGAACACATCTCCAAAACACATAAACACATAATAAAAAAGACAAGAAAAATGGTGATTTCATGAGTGAGTCCTGGATGTAAAAACTTAGTTAAGTTTTAATAAGAGTTTTACGACACTTGCAACACAATTAAAAGTCATATGAGTGATGAAGAGTAGAGGTGTTACATAAGAGTAACAAAAACATAAAAAAGGAGGAGAGATAAGGCTGATAGACGTTGACAGAAAACAAGGAATAAACAACACCATAGCACCCGCCAGCCACTCATGATATAAAACTGATAAACACAAGAAGAGCATGAGACAAGTTTGACCTACCTGTTCAATACTGGGCTGGGATGGGCTTTCTGTTTCTCCTTTTAAGATCTCCTCCCTTTGTAAATCAAGAGAGAAAAAGATGTTGAAAAAAACTTGATGAAATGTACCTTTAGATTGATGGCTATTTTATGTTATTCTAAATACTGGTATATACGTAGTATTCCTAGGTATAAGTGCACCTAATACAAAACAATGGAAGTAAAGATAGACAATTTTGACACTGTGACTGCACATTTACAAACCATGGCAAACTAAAATTGTTCAACGAATGCAACTTTGCTGGTCTTAAAATTAATGGAGATGGCCATTAATTAACTGTAGGGTAGGGTCAGGAAAACAAAAAAATATAACACTTTTACTCTGATTTCACTTGGTTTTAACTGGAAATGATACAAAAGATGAATAAGTTTAATTTTTCGGAATAACCCTAATTATCTTCCAGATGACTTGTTGTTTTTAACTGCACATATTTCGGAAAAATCTCCAGCAGGAAGAGATGGGTTTTCTTGAGCACACATATCAAATGAAAATTGAATCATGCCATGAAGTGCCCACAAAAAAGTTCTTACCTGCAAGATGTACACACTGTAGTAAGAGCTTCCAGTAAGGTTTCCTGAGGGAAATACAAGAGGCTATAAAACAACACGCAATGTGAGAAGGAATAAACAATAGTCTCTTTCAAATGACATTTAAGTACTATCACTATAATGAGTATATCAAAATTGACACTTTTTCCTCGGGTGGGGTTAGTATACTTGGGACTCCAAAACTGACCAACTTTTGTTGGTCACCCTCATAATTTGGAGTGAATTTCTGACAAGATGGAAGGGGGAGCAACATGCATGAAATCAAGTACTAGTGATAAATAAATCATGTCTCACCTTTAAGAACCGATGCATGGAGAATCAAGTTATTCACATTGTTCTAAGGAAAAGCTAAAGATTTGCATGCATAGTTTTATTATCTATATCAACAGCTTAGCAGAAGTTTTCCATTTCGTCATGAGTGATATTCCCTTTGTTCAGCTCGATCCTGGCTGTATACTGTGCGTATAATATAATTTGGGGGGGTGGGACGACGACACACACACACACACCTCTCATTTTGGGGAAAAATTGCTTTTATTATTGGTGAGTATATGCGTTAAACAAAGAACTTTTGGTGATGAATTCTACCCTTACCTTCCCTTTCCACGTCCTGCCAGACAGACCGTTCAGCAAAGCTTCCAAAATGTGGGTCAGATGCGGCTGTTTCAGCTGACCTCCAAGTTTCCCACCCACCATAGCCATGGCCCGGGCGGCCTGTGCCTTGACTGACCAGGCCTGGGACTCCATGCACGAGGTCAGAAGTTCTACAATCTCTGACAGGTAGAGCCTGATCCCTGCCTCTGTGCCTGGGGAAATATATTGAATTTTAATTTGATATATGTGCCCAAGAAAACCCATCCCCAACAGTACAGTGATTATAGTTTGTTGGTTTATTTAAGTAAAGAGAATCACACTGATACAATAGTTGAAATTTAATGCTGGGAAAAAGTAAGACATTCATATTGACTGTTAGATCATCATGATTTTATTCACATCATTCTCCTACCTGGTGTGATTTCATTCCAGACTTCCTCCCACTCAGAGACTTCTCCATCCTTCTTTGCCTGCCCTTCATTCTCCGTATCTTTTCTCTCGTGCATGGCGAAGAACGTCAGTGGCATGACCAAGTTGGCGTGTCGTCTCAGGCAGTCTGGGCTGTGCACGGAGATAGCATGTAGAGTGACGCAACACGCCTGACGCGCTGAGGGGTCTGTGGAGGTAGTTTAGTTTTAGTAAGAGTTTTACAGCACTTGCAACACAATAAGGTCAAAAAGTGCCGAAGATTAGAGGTGTTACAAGAGAGTAACAAACATAAAAAAGAAGGAGGAGACTATAGTTGTTTGACAGGAAAGAAGGAGCAAACCACACCAGAGCACCCGCCAACCACCCACCTGTGGAGGTAAAAAATTTGATAAATCATCACTGTGCACATCCCACAGTTAGAAGTTTGTTAGAGTGTTTTTTTGTTAGAGTAAAGAGAAGCACATTAACACAGTTAGAATGGTGTTTTGGTGCTGAGAAATTGTAAGACCGACGGACAAAAACAATAGATGGAAAGAACAGAGACAAGGGCTACCAAAGACACCGTCTAATTACCCGCACAGCAAGAAACAACAGAAGAGAAAGGAAGAAGCTGGACGTGAAGTAGCCTCCTTCAAGAATCACTAGATGAGTCTTCATACCTTGCCATATTAAGTTAGAGGATCAGCCAATGAACAGACAATGACTATTTATTTGGGAAAAAGAAGAAGCAAACAGAAGCATGCCGACAAGACAACAGTCATTTAGAGCAATCTTAAATTAGACTAGTACATCTGCATTTGTATGTTTGTTTGTTATTAGTAAAGAAATGCACATTGATGCAATAATGGTAAAGTTTTTTTGGGGAGCTTTTTTGTTTGTTTGAAAGAAAAGCAAGATCTAGAGACAGAAACAATAGAGGGAAAAAAAAGGAGTAGGACCTATCAGTGGCACCCTCTGACTATCAACCTGCTAATACATGCCAAAGCACAGAGATAAGGAAGAAAATGATAAAACAATGTTGATTTCTCAAAAAAAGCAACAACTTGCCTTCATTGTCCAAATACCAAGTTTTCAATTTTTGAAGGAGTTTTTCCACACTGCTGTCTTTTCCAACCTGAGAGCAAAAAAAAATTATTATATTACAAGACTTCATTGGGACTGAAAAACAAAGAATAGCAACGGCTCGTATGACCTTATGCAGTTGCGAGCGCCATAAAACCCTCTACTATAAAAAAAACCGCCTTAAAATTACACAAGAAACACAAAGAGAAAATTGTTATTTCTACATCAAATGAATATATGACCAAGAATAGAAAATGCAGTGAGGAACAACAATTTACAATTGGAAACTTTCAAAGTTGTAGAGAAATCAAAACAGACAGTTACAAATACGGTCAAACTTACTCTAACGAACACCTGTCTAAGACAATCACCTGTACAAACAAATCATTTTCCACTTCTCCTCCTCTTACATTTTAAAAATGTATTAAAAAAAATTTGTTTTAGTAAGAGTTTTACGGCACTTGCAACACAATAAGGTATTATAAATGCCGAAGATTAGAAGTGTTACAAGAGAGTAATAAACACAAAATAGAAGGGGAGATAAGGACGAAAGATGTTTGATAGGAAAGAAGGAGCAAACCACACCAGAGCACCTGCCAACCACCCGCTTTTCTATATTGTGGTGACACTGCCCAAGACGTTCACCAGTTTAAAACAACCATTTTTTCCTCCCCAATGGGTGGCCCTCTCAGACAATTTTGACTGCAGTTATAATACAAGAATAATGAAACTTTTTGAATATTTGATGCATCGGGATGAAATCAGGGGCGCGTCAAAATAATTAAATAAAAGAATTTGGCATTTTTCTGGCCGTCGGGTAATTAAAGAAAATTTTCCTTTTTTTTGGGCTCAACACCTTTTATATCCATGTAAAAAAACATTTCTATGAGGATGTTACAGAAAAACGGAGATTAAAGGCACAAAAAATGTCAATTTTCAGTTTCCAAGGACTCTCAAACTATTGAAGTCGCATAATTTTGGCGGTCATATTCTCCCTGATTTACCTCTGAAATCAGGTGACCCCCACCTCCTTCAATTACAAATATTTTGACTTCTATTCAAGATAGATGGATATTTTTTCCCCAAAGGCAAGGTAAATAAACAGGCTTTAAGATGATACCAATAACTCCATATGCCCAAAACTTGACGAGTGCCTGATTCCACTGCATCACAACACATGCAAAAATGTCATTAAAAAAAATTATCATGTTTCTGGGATGGGTTTCCCCACTGATCACACACACACACAAGGGGTCACAACAACAGCAACTTACCCTAACCAGGTGGCCTAAAGCTGTTGCGTAAGACTTCCTAATCACAGCATTTCTGTCCCCAAGTCCATGAAGTAATGCTGCCATGAGTTTTCCTAAAGAGAAACAAACAAACAATGAATCTTAAATCAATGCTCATTGATCAAATGAAACAAAGCTGTATGCATATCCTTCCTATGAATATATAAAAAATTAAACCAGAAAAATGATGTGCACAGATCTTTTAAATGAATATACATAGAGTAGCTTTTTCAGTATTACATGAACACAAAACTTAACTTTTCCCCTCTCTATTTCTAAAAACAGAGGCTGAGCAAAATGGAGAAATCATGAGTTGTGACCAACGTTTTTTTTATGGCTTTGATAAAACTAGAATGAACATGACATGCAAATGCATTTAACACCTCTTATCGCACACAGCAATGAGGAATTTCACAATGAGTTGATGAAAGGTGCTTTAAACAATGCTGAAAATGGGTATATTCATTCAAATTTACCTTAATCTACACACTTTTTCTGGGTTCAACAATTTAAAGGTCAGATATAGATAACCTGGACTGGCTGGGGTATTGAAGATTTTTGTTATGACTGTCAACAACCAAGCCATGCCTTTCTCCAGTCTAGCTAGTGTGCCCAGCAAATGGTACTGATAGTTAGCTAGGTGTATCGGTGCACTGTCACTAAGAGACTTTCACTTGTTTTAAGCTTAACATTACACATCTTCAGTTCAGATGTACAGAGGCCGAAATTTTGATCTTATTTTTTTTAAATTACAGTTTCTTAATCTGTGGTATCGATTACATATGCTCAAGAAATATTCTGTTGAAATTCCCATTCAAATATTGAAAAAAAAAGCAAAAAACCCCCGTACAATAGGTATAATTTTAAGAGGTAATAAAACAGTTATTTCTCTCTCCAGAAAAATTTTGCTTTCTGGGCGTAGGACAATCACAGACAAAAGGATTTTCTTATTTACCTGCGTATTGGCTCAAGTCTCGTGGACATTGATGAACAAGTGAAACTATGAAGCTTGAGCAACCAGCCTGATGAGAAATGGGGAAAAAAATTCAAATCGGCCGTTACATTCAATTCAACTTCAGTGTAAAATTATTCCCAGTGGCAATTTCATATAAACAAATCCGCAATTTCCACAAGTCTTACTTCACAATTTGGATACAACCATGTGTGTGTCTTTGAGAGTGAAATCAGGGTTGGCCTCTTTTCATTTTTGGTAGTTTTCAAAACAAACTTTGGGGAGTAGCAAAATTATTTAAGTAATTGTCATTTCAAACATTCATAATAAAAAAAATTATGTTTTAGAGATTCAAAACAAAGTGGAATCTTTAACATTATATGTGCATGATTTTGAAACGCGCTCTTAGAGATTGCCATGTACAATCTACACGAATTACAGACGTACATAAGCCTGCCTCAAAACATAATACACACACACACAATGAGAGTCTTACAGTCTATTTAAAAACAAAAAAACAACAACCTATGTCTCAGAAACACAAAGACATGTATGCCTCAGCGGACAACCATACAGACAACAGGAGACCACGTTGCGTACTTGTCCTTACCTTTGTGCTCACTCCTATCCCCCCTCTGATCAGCTCCACCAATCGCGGGACCAGCTCGGCCAGAACAGAGCTGTCCACATACTGAACACACTGCAAAACAAAACAAATCAAAACACAATTATTGTAAATGTCTTACATCCCAGCTGACACAATGTAGATAATTTGGGAAGCAGGCTGCTTCCATCCGGGTTTAAAGTTTGGTGCCAACCTGGGATGAGAGGGACACAGCATCCAAGCACACAGATGAAGATGCTTGGTAAAAAAGCTTCCCAACTAGGGAATCAAACTTATGTCTTCTGTGCACGACAGCAAAGAGCCTAACAATTACACCACAGGCGCCTGTATTAAAAATCATGAAAATACAAACTTTTTCAACATGGAGTAGGCCTAAAACTGAGCACACTGAGATCACAGTGATGTCCCAAGTGATCTTCACATTGTCAGACTGTAAACTGTCTATATATAGCAAAGCTACAATTTTCACTCATCCGTCAGGACTACCTGGAACATCAATGCTACTTATTTTTCAAAGTCTGATAAGGCTCTAATTTTACTATAAAGATAGATTGCAATTCCCAGATGACTGACATAAACATATATTTCATATACCCCAGAATTCGAAAAGCATACATTTTATATTAAAAATTGATAAAACATATAGATTTTAAAACAACTAAGGCTAGTTTCAGGACAGAGAAGGAAGACTGAGGAGACAGGAGTACAAAGCTTTTGAAGTCACTTCCCTCACATATGTAACCAGAAACTTTGTGAACAGATAGGTGTCTGTAACATAATACTAAAATGTTAACAACGGTTAAATTTTGAACTCCTAAAACCTCACTTAAAGCAAGACTGAAAGTTGGACTAAATCCTTTTTAGTAAATATACCAATATCAAATGAAACAAAGCCTGTATAGTATACAGATCCTTCCTATGAATATGCATAAACGTTAGCTTTTCCAGTACAACAATAAGACAAAATGTGAGGAGCAGAGTAAAATAAAAGCCAATAAAACCTACTCTATTGACGGTTTCCATCATGGGAGAGGTTCTGGAGGCTGCAATCCTGGCACTGTCCAGCTGGGGAGAGAATGAAGGTGAAGTAGTCAAGCATAAAATAAAAAGGTAGTGCTTTCTTTACGACCTAAAAAGCAGAATAGAATACAACAAGTCACTCGTAATTTTTCTTTTCCGGGTTTTCATGCGTTGGTGATAAAACACTATAAAAAATATAAGTGAATACAACTGTGACGCTTGCTGACAATACGAGTTATTTCTCGTAATCCGTAAATGAGGTATCTGCCCAAAATAAACAAAATGGGTCAAATTTGCAGATTATCAACTGACGCCATTTTCTTCAACTTTTAACATGCCTTTTATCATCTCACATTAATAAAACTGAACTTTCAATACATAAATTTGATGTACCTCTGTCCATTGTGGTAAAATCTGAGAAGTAATTTGAAATCAGCAAATCTCACAATTTTCTTCAACGTAAAATAAGACACGTGTGCATACACACTTATTTGCTAATACACACACACTACGGCTGAACAAAATATTTTCTCTTAAGAAGTAGGAATAGCTTTCTTTGAGTACATAATCACGCTTTGTCCAGGCAGGTAAAAATAAATACGATCACACGCTCCTCACTTTGTCCTGACTGGCCTGAGTGCCCATGTGTAGGCTCAGGTAGTTGATGACGTCAGGTTCGAGTCCGCTGACCGCCTCCAGCAGGGCACTGACCAGCACAGGGATGTTTGGCTTGAGGAGGGCTCCAGCATTGCGGCTGATTTGTAGGATTGTTGACAGACTGAAAAAGACAGACGGATGGCCAGTTTGGTTGATTTATAAGGTTTTTGACAAACTGAAACAGACAGATGGATTGTCATTATGGTTGATTTGTAAGTTTGTTGACAAAAATACATGGATTTTCACATTATGGCTGATTTGCAGTATTGTTGACAATCTGAAACTGATAGATGGATTGTCATTACCGCTGATTTGTAAGGTGGTTGACAGACAAACAGATAGACAGTTGTTTATTTGGGTTAAAGTTTGACTGTGCTCAAAATTGCATCAGGTCATATGAGTGCACCGCTGATTGATTGGATTGCTACACAACTGAAATAGATTAATGGATACCTACAGCAGTTTAAACTTATTTTCAGTCATAGACATGAAGTAGAAACCCTGATCCAACAATCACATAAAATAAACTCCACCAACCCTTTGGCGAAGTTGGGACACTGTGTCACAAAACAAAGAAAAATACGCTATGTACATAAATCCTGCATATTAAATCTATAATATATGTATATGATATATCATTAGGCATGTATTGTTAGGTCTACAATGTAAATGCATGTTTTACACCCTCCCCCCCCCCAAAAAAAAATAAAAAAATGTATTCTTTTCAGACTGGGATAAAAAATAAAATTGCATTTTCAAATTTAAAAGACATATTCAAATCTGAATCTCATATTCAAATCAAAATCAAATATTCAAATTTAATACTCTAATCTCAATTCTCAATCTTATTGAGATCTAACTGACACATTCAGAGGAAATTTTTTTTCGTCACAACAAGATAAACCATTTAATGAAGTAACTCACCCAATGGCCCTGACCTCTTTCACAGAACTCTGGAGAGAACACTTGAGGAGACAAGGAAGAACTGCCTGGATGGCTCTCTTGCCCACTTCACCGTAGCTCACGTCACATATCTTCACAGACACCTGTGTAGTTTCAGTTTAGTTTTATTTTTAGTTAGAGATTAAAGGCACTTGCAACACAAATAGGTAATATGAGTGTTGATGATTAAAGGCATCACAAGAGAGTAATACACAAAGAAAAGAAGGAGGAGACATAAGGACAATAGATGTTTGATAGGAAAGAGGGAGCAAACCAATCTAGACTGCCCGCCGACCATCCACCCTGTGTAGTTTCAGGAAAGACAATAACAGCTGCATCTGCTGCATTGGCCACATGTTTTGGATGAATTGTACAAAACAGCTTGCACTAAGAAAATTAATTCCATCTTTTTAGACAACAAACATCCCTTGTTCCCCAAATAAAAACATCAGTCAGAAGTAAAAGACCTATGCTTCTGATCTGCAACAAAGAAAGATACAGAAGGTCATTTTTACCATCATCTATCAAAATGCTTCCATCTTAACCATCTTGTATAAGTATACTTACGACCTTAGAGCATGCATCAAAATAACATTGAATGTGTATCTAGCTTACGATTATTATTGTTTATATTGCTGCTCATTTATATTATGCATGTGATTGTAAGCCTACTTGTGTGTGCATGTGTGTGCACGAGTGTGCATGTGTGTGTTTGTGT